ATCTGTTAACTGAAATATGTCAATTGGTATACCATCTATTCCTGGAGCCTTATTTTTGGCCATGTCCTTCAAAGCAGCCTGAACTTCTTCTTTCATCACCTTAGGGAATATATATTTATGACCTTAGGGAATATAAATAATTTGTAGCTATATTGCACAAAGAATGCTGGACATACAATTTTGTGGTTCAAGTCTTAATTACGCTGTTAATGATTAACCATGGACAAGTACTAAACCTCTATATCACCTGTAATATACTTAGTTTGAGTTGCTTCCACAGTCCCTTCCAACTGTAAAATCCTAATTATAATAATTTAAAAAGTACATTTACTATTAAAACAGAAGTGTATCCAAAACCAAATAAAAATTTTATCTTGGCTGCCTATTAAATTCACCATTATAGGTTCCAGCTCAGACTAAAAATAGACTAAAATAAGTAAAACAGACTAAAACTCTTTCCTAGTGATTACAAGAAACCAAACATGCCCTTTCATAGAATATACAAAACAATATGAGACCTCTCAAAAGTACTTGACAGGCATGGTGAGGAAGTAAAGAAAAACTTGAGTAATAATGACCTCCAGGCAGTGAGTATTCTGGTCTTTTCCCCTCTGACAGCTCTAGTTAAGACTTAAAGACAGCCTGATCCCTGAAATAAACAGCAAGGAAGCACAGCTAAAGCTCTAAGTAAGCTCTCTCACTCCACCTAGAAGCTGAGGAAGGGAGGCCCTTTGAAGACAATGTAAAGGAAAGGGTCCTTTTAAGTGTTTGTTTTAAATGTTTGTCTACCTCTGACTTAAGTCAAGCCCCACTCATGAAGAGACTGACAGGCTGTCCTGTGGCAGTGGTAGCTGGTTAGGCATCAACAACTATGAAAAAAAATCCTCCTCTTGGAGAATGAGAACTGGGAACTCTGCAGTTGGAAGGAAGATCCCTGGTGGCACATGGTTACATGCATGGCTGCCAACTTAAAGGTTGGCTATCTGAACCTACTAGCTGCTCAGGAGGTACTCAGGGTGGCTACGTGGTAAGAAGTTGCGCTGCCAACCCATGTGTATGTGACTTGAATCCACCAGCTGCTCTGTGGAAGAAAGATGGGCACTTTCCTCCTAAGAAACTGCCTCAGTATTCTGTAAACTTTTGTTATTTTTTTTTTAAATTTAGGTTGTTTATT